ACTGTCTTTGCCCGTTCCTCCTCACTGGGGCCTGGAAGAAGCATTCACGGTGCCCAACATAAAGTGTGCTGTTTAGGAAGGCAATTTATAAATTCATGTTGGGAGAAAAGCCAAGAAGAGAAGGCATTACAAAACACTCATTCCCTGGGAAGGAAAACCTGAAGAACTTTCTGTTAATTTTGTAAAAGTTTTTCATGTAATTAAGTTCCAGGTGCTAAACCTTTCCCCCATTATATTGATTGTGCCTCTGAAAAAAGATCTTTGCCGACTACAGATTTATTCTTTAGTCTTTGCACCTTTGATGAATGCTGGGATGATGTTTAAAAAGAAAAGGTCTACACAGCAGTTTATTCAAATAAAGTGTGATAATAGTGTCCACACATATACTCCCCATCAAGTGGTACAATCCTGACACTAAATAAAAAGTAAAGCAACACAGTTATCCCTTCTCTTTAGTTTCTCACATGTGCTGAAAGATAACAATAAATTTCGCATGGGTAACGGAAACTCTGCATCTTGAGATTTTACATCAGAGGAGTAAGGTATCTGAATTGTGATGGGTACTGTGTACCTGCAAGCATGTGTCTGTGTACTTTTATGTATTTGTATGTTTGTCTCCCTGTGTTTGTATCTGTGCATAATTGTTGGGGCATTCAGTCTCAAATGGAAAGATCTGAAAAACTAATTAATAACCTCAAAAATGTCTCTATGATTTTCAATTTCACCTCCAGGCCAGATCACAGTCAGTTCCAATTATTAGCATTCTGCACACATGGGAATCTGATGAACTGCCTCACTTCCATGATATAATAGCTCATATTCAAACCCAAACTAGGTATATAGCTTACCATTCTCAAACTGATTCTGCGATGAAACATGCTTGCCTGATTTCCTTGGAAAAATCCATATTCAACCTCCACCAATGCCATTTCTAAACACTGGTCATCTTCTGTCAATTTTTCCCAAGCATATTTTAATTATCCCTAATAGTGCTCAACAGAGGTTTGGAAAAGTTACAATAAAGACATGTCAGCTTCCAGGTTAGACAGGGACTGAGTCCAGCTGCATCTGCTCAGAACCCAACCAAAATGAGAAAAGCAAATTAAAATCCAGGGCAAGTTCAGTTCACACAAACTTTTGGGAAGTCTTCGCTTGTTAGGTTACGCATGGATCCTGACTAAAGAAAGGCACTGGGAACCTTGTTGGCAGTTCTACTTGCCAAGACAGGATGTAATATTTGGAAGGAGGAGGCTGAAGACAGAGTAGGTCTTGAGGCGAGCAGTGCGTACCCGACTCATTACCCATTTAACTGTTTTGGATCAACAGTACTTGGAGGCCCCCGACAAACCTGTCCAAGCCAACCAGAGGAGCTAGTATATGGCAAGTTTTCCCCTGATGCAGAGGTTCTTTGCTGATGGAGTGGGCAGAGACACCAGGAAGAAGGCCAGCCATTGGGACCTCATGAGTCCTTGGAGTGGACACCAACAGAGACTGGGTCTGCAGAACTGAACCCTGCCTGCCTGACGCAGCTACTTCGATAAACAGAGAGCATCTTTCAGGAATTAATTCAGCTTTTAAAGGCAAAAGTCTTTCAAGCCTTGTAAGAGGCCAAAAGTGAACAGATAAAAAGAAAGTTAGATTCAGTAGATTGATAAAAGGATAGATGCCATCACAAACAAAATTAAAAGGCATGTGAGACACCGAGAAAAAATATTTCCCTCGTATGTAGCAGCAGATGGTTGATATTACGAAGATTTAAAGAGCATTTGCAAATCAATAAGAAAAATAACCACCCTTGCATAAAAAAATGGGTAATCATCCCAAAAATTTTTAATGAGTATCCAAAAAAGGGTTCTATGTGACAAATAATATATGAAAAAATGTATTCAGCCTCACTGATAAAGAAATGCAACTTACAATGGGATTCACTTGCCCGACCAGAGTGGCTCAGTTTGTTGAAGTGTCATCCCATGCACCGAAAAGTTGGGGGTTCAATTCCCAGTCAGGGTACATACTTGGGTTGAGGTTTGATCCCCAGTTGGGGCATGTACAGAAGGCAACTGATCAATGTTTCTCTCCCACATCACGTTGATGTTGTTTTCTCTCTCTCCCTTCCTCTCTCTAAGCATGTCCTCAGGTGAGTTCTTTTTTTTTTTAATGTAACTCAATTTTTTACATATAAAGTTGGGGAGGCATATTCAAATGATACTAACCTTTCTGTCTAGGTACTGATCCTAATAGTACAATTTGGTACCAATTTTCTGTAGAGAAATTTGGCATATGTATCAAAGGCCTTAAAAAATGGGCATATTCTTTGATGCAATAATACCTACCACTTTAGAAATTTGCATTAAGGAAATTTTTAGAGACTTGGACAAAGATTTAGTCACACAGCATTGTTTGTAATGGCCTAAATATATAATAATCGGTAATTGCATGATAAAAATAAAAACCATTCTATAGTGGAATTCTGTGTAACTCTGGAAAAGTGATAAAGTAGATGTGTATTTCTTATTATGGAAAGAGACTGAAAATATGGTGGAAAGAAAATCAAATTACAAAAGAGGACGTATAGTGCAATCCTTTTTGGTAAACATCATTTATGTACAATAGGAGTACATGCACAAAAAACATACTTATTAACTAGACAACTGCAAAAAGTCAAGAAGGGTATACACCAAAGTATTACAGTGTACTTACAGAAACTTTTTCTGATTATTTTACACAATAAACAGTTTCAGTAATATAAAATGTATTTGGAAAAAAAAGAAAAACAAATGAACCAGAGACTTCAACAAGCATGCAGCTATTGAAGACATAGTAAAAAAAAAAAAATCAATGTTTCTATACAAAAATAATTGTTTACATTTTAATTTTAAAAGATGCCATTCATAATTGCAGTACTGAATAGAATATATTTAGGTCTGAATTTTGAAAATATATGCAGGACTTAATTATTAGAAATCTATAACTTTACTGAAGGGTATAAGTGGATAAGCCATACTTTTGATGTGGAAAGACTACTATTGTAAAATATAAATAATCCCCAAGTTAACAATTTTTATATTGAAATTAAAATCCTGGATGGTTTCATTTGGAATATGTGAAAATGAGTTAAAACTTCTATTAAGTAAATAAATACGTAAGAGTTGATTTTTTAAAAATACATGAGAAAAAGGAGAGAGAATTTTCAGTAGCAGATATTTAAGTATACTATAAAGTTATAATAATTAAATCATATCTTCAAAGCTTAAAAATAATAGATAACCTAAAGTTAATAGCAAACCTGGAGGAAATCAAATTCCCTGTAAGTAGTTAGAGTATGATAAAAGTGCTACTCAATTAAATTGGAAAAGGATGAATGGCTATTAAGCAAATGGTGCTGAGACAACTGGTTAACCATTTATTAAAAAATAATATTAGACATATTTGTCATACTATACACTAAAATAAGTTTTAGGTGACTTAAACTGTTAAATGGAAAACTACTTCCATGATTTGGGAAACGGGAATGCCATTCCAAGAATAAAAGCGAATATAGGTTTTTAAGAACAAAGTTTGAGAGATTTAAATAAATAAAAACTCAAATCATCTATCTAACAACACTACAATGAACCAAAGTGAAAGACAGTAAACTGGAAAAACATGTATATCATATACAAAAAAGAGTTACCAGTCTTACTATATAAAGAGCTTCTACAAATCATTAAGGAAAAAACCACATTCCATTATTGCAAAATGGGAAAAACTTATGAGCAGAAAATATACAAATGCCCAATAAATGTACTGAAAAATGTTCATCCTCAATAAAACTAAAAAAAAATGAATTTGCTAAATTGGTACCTCTATTCTCCTACCAAATTGGCAATGATATTAAAAATAATAGTACGTTATATTGGTGACCATGTGGCAAACTTACTGCTGTGATACTGTACTGGTCGGAATGTATATTTATACAGCCCTAACCAAGGGAGAATGGACAATATGTATCAAAAAATTCATAAATTTTCATATTCTCTCATTCGGAAACTTTATAGAAATTCTTCCTAAAGAAGTAAAAGGGGTCCCAAAATACATGTGTTTACTATGACTTAGCTAATAAAAGAAACCTGTGCCCAACAACAGTGACAGGTAAAATAAGTTATGACACAGGTATTCAATAAAATAGTATGAAACTAACATAGATAAACAACATATCTATATTATATATACAGTAAAATGTATAGCATTTCATGATATAACAAATGAAAAATGTAGGCTACAGCACAGCCAGACACCAATTTGGTTAGAAGTATGTACAGATGTGATACTGGGCAAATGTTCAACACTCTGTAAACAGTGGCTTTTTAAGGGTGATGGGATTATAGGCTTTTTTTTCTTTCCCTCCTTTCTTTTTCATGATTTCCACAAACATTGGCTTGCTATTATGTGTCAAACACGTCTATATATTCCAAATTTTCTTCAACTGAATATGTATTACTTTGTAGTCAAAGTTAAATTTTGTAAAAGCCCATCATTTAAGCCTAACTTCCTCTTCCAGATACTAAGCATCTGCAAAGGTCGCAGAAGGTATACAATGAAATGCATATTGAAAGCATAAAATAGCGTATAAGAAAATTGGGGAAATACGCACTGCATGTCTTATCTTTAGAGACATTTCGTAAGACACACTCACCTGTTCGAGCGGAAGCACGGTCTGTTCTTACAAGTGTGACTAGGTACGGCATCTTAAAGACACCTTCCCAAGGGCGTCCGCAAAGATGACCACTTAAGGAGCCTGACATCCAGGTAACCATTTAAAACCCGTTATCCCATGGGACCCCCACGACAATGGGAAGGTAGTATGACTGCTTTTGTGCAGGGGACACTAGACTTAGGTGGCTTGTGGCTTGCCCCAGGTAACAGCTGGGCAGGCGGTGGTCGGTGGGAAGGGCCCGGGCTGTGGGGAGCGGGGAAGTGGGGAAGACGGGGGCCGGGTTCCGGAGGGGCGGGAGCCTTACCGCGGCTTGCTGGAAGGCGCCCTTGGTGTAGGTGCCGCCACCCTTGTAGGTGATGGCGGGGATCTCGCGGCTGAGCAGAGCGCACTTGTGCTGGTGCGCGCGGCGGGAGGAGATGTAGTCGACGCGCGGCACCACGTTGTTCTTGGACGAGAAAGTCACGATGGCCACGCGCGTGGCCGTGGGCACCACGGGGAAGTCGGACAGCAGCTTGCGGACGAACTTGAGCTCGCTGAGGAAGTTGGCTTG